CAAAGGCGCGGTTTGGAAACGAATGAAACCGGCCGAAGAACCATCAGCAAGGGAAACGGAGTAAGGAGTAGAAAGAGGGATAAGAGAGAGTTTATGGAGATCGGCAAAGGCAGGATCAATGAGGGCAAGAGCGGAACATCCATCATCAATAAAAACAGAAAGGGAGATGGAGACCGGGCCAGAAAGACTCATGACGATAAGAGTGGCCGGAAGAAGAAGCTTATCGTCCGATAGTGACGAGTCAGAGGGGGAAGATGTTCGTATCGCCGAACAGACCACCTCGCTTACTTGCGAGGTGCTGCTCGGCTGTGAGCATTTCCCGAGTTCCGTTTGACCAGAACCGGGCACTGCTGAACATCGCGACTGCCGGGACAAGACTTTTCCCCGCAGTACAAGCAGAGACCCTGCTCACGACGTCGCTTTTTCTCGACGTCGGAGAGCTTAGCAGGGCGGACCGAGACAGAGTCAAGGTCCATGGGAGTGGGTGCAGAAGAGGAGGAAGAAGAAACATGCGCGGGAGAATGGTGGTGATGGGGAGCAGAGCGAGAAGAAGGAGGAGGAGGTTGGGAACGGGAGGAGACCTTGAGACGATGGAGGGCATCGTCGTACTCGACCGCTGCCTTGATCAACTCGGGCAAGGAAGCGGGAGCGGGGCGGAGACCGATGAGGTGGAACTTGACCTCAGACTTCAAACCCTCCTTGAAGAAGTGCATCTTGGTGGGTTCGTCAGTCTGGACGCGGGCGGCGAGCTGGACGAAGCGGGTGGCGAAGGCTTGGCAGGACTTGAGCTGGACCAAGCGTTTGAGGTCGTTCAAGGCCTTATCTTGCGAGGAGGCCGTGTCCTCACCGAAGGTCGACTTCAGGGCAACTTCGAAGTCGGCGAAGGAAGCAGGGAAACGGTTGGCCATGTAGAAGGCGGCCTCGTACCATTTGAAAGCTTCGCCGCGGAGGAAGGAGGTGGCATAAAGGACCTTCTGGCGCTCGGGCGCAAAGAAGGCAGGATCGGCGAGGAAGACGAGGTGGCACTGGGCGAGGAAGGCCGTCGTCTCGTCGCGGGAACCTAGGAACTCCTTGGGCTTGTTCACCTGGTAGACCTGGCGGGGAGCGGCGGCGGGAGCTTGCAGATCTTGGATCTGACGATGGAGAGCAGCGTTCTGGGTCATGAGGGCGTTCATACGCTCCTCCATGCGCGCCAGGTACGCATTGAGATCTGCCGGGGGTGCAGCAGGCTCAGCCATCGGATCGACGAGGGAAAGAGAGGCGAAAGAAGAAGAAAGGCCGGGAAGCCAAGAGGGAGCGTTCAAAATGATGTTAGAGTCCAAAGGGGACTCAACGGCAAAAGAAGAAGTGAGCTCGAAGTGAGCTCAGGGAAAGCAAGGGTAGAGTCCGAAGTGGACTCGGAGAGGGAGCGAGGGAAGCAAAGATCCGTTCAAGATAAGACTTGTCTCGAAATGAGACGTGAGGAACACTCAGAGAATAAAGTAGAAGGCACTTTATTTAGTCCTATTTTGAACGCTAAGGTTCGACTACACATCGCGGGGGTCAGGCTATTTATAGACAAGTCCGGACTTGGCAGCGAAGGGCGGCCAAGGGAGGGAAAAGTGGGCGATCGAGCAGGGCGAAGGGGGCGATGCACGAACGAGGGCCGAGAAGGACCACCGAGACAGGCAGAGAACCAAAGCGAGAGAGGCGCAAGCAAAAGCGAAGCACCTGGCAGGAGAAACGTGCAAAGGCGAAGCAATGTGACTCAACGTCCAAGAAGCGGATTGGTCAAGTATAAGGTTGGGGCAAATGCATGCGAGATGAACAAGAGATCGGGGCGGTCAGGCAGGTCATGAGTCACCGGTGGGGGGACACATGACCGGCAGCCGAATTGCAACCAATCGCAGCAAGGCGCGTGCACAAACAAACCGGCGCGTGCGAAGAAGACAAAGGAAGCGGAGCAGCGCGGGAAAACGGAAGTGCGGAAGGAGCGGAAAAGACAGGCAAAAGGCGGAAAATCGGAGGGGAACTGCAAGGCTACACACAAACAAACAGAAAGGCAAAAGAATAGCCAAGTGTGCAGTCAAAGTGGAGAACAAGCAGGAGCTATCCCTAACACTGAGGGGTTCAAGATCGGGATGGTGACCCTGTTCGAGTCCGCCGTGCGGAGGGTGCTTCCAGATGTCTTCCCACCGCTGATTGAGCGCGCGATGCGTTTCTGGGCGTGAATCATACCATCGAAAAAGTGCGTCATAATCACCCTTGGTTTTTTCTTGCCTATGGGTAGAACCAGCGGGGTGTCGAAATCGCGACAGATGGCTCCCCGCAAGAAAAAATCCCCGCCTGACCCAAATCCAGATCCTGGACAACCCAGTGACGCACCTGCTGACAAGAAACCCGTCATCAAATCATGTCGTGCCTGTGGATTGACCAACCACGTCAAGCCATTCACCAAGAAATGCAAGGCCCGAACCGAGTTGGGCCCCCCTTCTGACTCGGCGTCTGCCTTTGGCGCCGTTTGCCAAGCACCCCCTCCAGACGAGTCCAGTGAAGACATCGCCGTTCCGGCCCTCGTGGTCGAGATGCCTGCACCAAAAGTCCCTGTATGTACCACATGTGGGGAAGAGGGTCATGCCAGAAGCAGCAGCTCGTTGTGTTCAAAAAAGAACCCCCTCTGGAGCTCTACCGAGCCCGACTGTGGTCCAAACGAGTATGCCAAGGCAGAGTACTCGATCATCAAGTGCACTCTTGACGCCATCATCAAGAACGATGCCTTGCACGACAAGATTGAGGAGACTGTCCGGGCCATGACCCATGTGCAGTACGAAGCATCTCGGCTCCTGGAGCTGCATCTCAGGCGATGCTTGGACGAGGGTATCACCATCCCCACTGTGTCGTCGAGTGACCCTTCGTTCGTTCGAAAGTGTTTCAACATGGTGCATACCGGAGCTACAGATGTCAAGAATGGCACGACCCAAGAAGACAAGCACCTCCTCGACACCTATGAGCTGTATCGAAGTACATGGAGTGGATCGTGTGCCCTACCTCCTGTAACCCTCCCAAAGGGCACTGGTTCACAGGTCCTCACATTGGCTGTCAAGACCTATGCAATCAACTGTGAGACACACATTCTCGATCGGTATTGGTCCCTTCTACGCCGATTCTGCAATCTGGCCCTGATTGCTCCCAAGGATGTCAAGCGACATACACACGTCGATGAGTGTATGAAGCTGATGGAGAATCCCCTCTCCGATACACTCCTCGGTGATCTGAGGAAATCCTTCGCCCACCATGCCGACCAGCTCTACATCTTTCGCTACAAAAGCCAACAGGACCTGTACAAAGTCGTACCAGTATTGGCCAGTGAAGTCTCTCGGCTGACCCACCGAAAGGAGACACTGTTCGTGGCGACCATTCGAAACAGAATCATCCCCAGGCTCGTGAGGGATACCGATGATCTGAGAGGAGTGTGTGGACGACTGAACGAGGAGATGTGTCGCGCGATCGAACGAAGGCAGTCGGATCAATACAACGCACTCCACAAACGGCACGAGGAGGTGGAGAAGCAGGTCACCGTCAACACGAAGCGAATCAAGCGATTGACCGACCGACTTGCTCAGACCAGGAAACGACACAACGTCCCTCGAGCACAGTGCGCCTTGGTCCCGCTCTGCGATGCCAGAGCCAAGTATGTCAAGCTCGACACCAAAGCATTGTGGGAGTTCCTTGGTTCCCAGAAGGGTACTGGTTTCAAGTGGAACGACCTGAAGACCAAGGTCAATGGCACCACAAAACAAGAGATCTTCTGGCGAAGGACCTTCAAGCTGGAGTCGAGACTCTTTGGTGTCAGGAAAGAGGGGAAGCAGCTCTTTGGTTGCGAGATCAGCACCGATGGGGTCGGGTGCTCGATCACCACACTCAGATATAAGATCCTGGAGAAGAAGGGCCCCGATGCCAAGCCGGTACCCAAGACCAAGGTGAACACACTCACTCCCGAGCAGAAGATCCAGACCAGGGTCGGTCCCATTGACGACTCTCGGACCACATGGATCGGGATCGACCCTGGAGTGGGATCCATCTTCACCGCTGTCAATCGAGCACCCGGTCAACCATCCATCCAGGAGCAAGCCGGTGTCAAGGTGACCAAGGCACAGCGCGCCAACGAGAAGATCGTGTCGTTCTCCAACAAGGAGTACCAGCATCGAACTGGCACCAGTCAGGCGACCAAGTGGATCCAGAGCACCCACAAGGCCCTTGATCTGCAGGAATGGATGAGCACCACACCAAGTCCCAAGATCCCCGGGGTGGCCCCCTTCCTGCGATACATTCGCCATGTGTTCGATGGAGACATGCTGGACAAACAGCTGTACTTCAACCTGACCCGGCGACGGCGATTCAAGCGACTCGATCTCCACAGCAAGCGACAGCGCACCGTCCACGAGATGTGCAAGCGAGTCATCGACCAGGCAGCAAGGGAGACCGAAGTGGTGATTGCCTTTGGGAATGCATCCTGGAAACAGGGGAAGGGATATGCCTCCAGTCCCAGGAGACTCAGGTTTGCCAAGTACTTTGAGCAATTCCACCATCACCAGAGACGCCCACCAGACCCATCCGTCTCCAAGATCCATGTGTGCTCGGTGAACGAGTTCAACACATCCCAGGTGTGCTCACACTGTCGGGAAGCCAAGCGACTCGAGAAGGTCGAGCATCTTGATATCGAGAAACCACACTTTGTCCGGAGCTGTGCAAGCTGCCATACGCTGTGGGATCGAGACATCAATGCAGCCAGGAACATGATCTCGGTATGCCAGTCGATCATCGCCACAGGAGATCGACCGGGTGTATTCAAGACTGTGCTTCCGGACCCACCCAAAACAAAGTGATTGCCAACCAGGACGGGAAACAATCGCACGACCTGCCCACTGGGGTCTACGGATCAGCAGACCTGTGTCGCTGATGCCAGGAAGTGACTGTCCCGTTTCTTTCTGGTTTGACTGTACTGAAAACACATACACACACTAGAGCGAGTCCCAGACCGCCGCGGTAACGACCAAGTCATAGACGAAGGCTCCCTCATGGTCTCGTCCCTGGATTCCCAGCTGCTCCTCGAATTTGGCAAAGAACTTGCTAAAGGCCTGCCCGGTGCTGTTGATTCTGATGTTGCGATTGCGCATAAAGCTCGAGTACTTGTTCCAGACGTCGTTGCGGTGGAAGGCGATGCGTTCGGGGCTATGGTCTCGGGTTGCCTGCTTGTTAACGCACTCTTGGATGAATTGGGCCACAGTGTCGTTCTGGCATCGGATGTCGTCGACCGTCTTCTGGAACTCTTGCGGCAAAGGAGGAGGCGGGCGCTTGAGCTGCTCGACCAGGTAACTCAGGAACATGGGCGCCCAGGAGATGATGGATTCGTCGACATCGCTGCGGCCGGCAAAGACATAGTTGTCGGGATCGGGGATGCGTGTCGGGTGGTTTGGAGGGATAAAGGTGCTGCTGAACTTTTCAATAATCAACCGTCTCCACGTTCCTTCGTCCTGTGTGCTCGCATCGATCTTGGGAATGTCATTGCACATCATGAAGAAGCCGCAGGCAAGTAGAAACTCGACTTCGTCATTGACAAAGAGCTGGCGACCGGTCATGATGTCACCACCGGTGACGGATTTGAGCGTTCCCAGGAGCAAGGTGTCGTCTCGGTTGGGCTCCTGACAAACGACAATGCGCGAACCGATCAGGCGCAGGAGATCGGGCGACGGTCTTGACGGATCCCCCCTCTTCTCCGTAAACAGGGAAACGCTGCAGGTTTTGAAGTAATCCCCGGTAGCGCGGCGAAGGAATCGGATCAGACTGGACTTGCCGTTGGAGCCTTTGCCCTGGAGAAGCGTAAAGACTTGCTCGCTCAAGACACCCTTCAGGCACGAGGCAAAGCGGTGCATAATGTACTTGCGCTGATGCTCGATGGGTAAGATTTGGTTGATGAAGGACTCCATGGCCTCGCGAAGCTCGATGGGGTATTTCTCGTACTTGAGGTAGACGTGGTGCGTCGACGACGACACATAGTCTTCCGGGCGGCCTGCACGGGCCTTCACCTTGAAGCTACCGAGTCGTTTCTTCGTGACCGGATCAACATTCTCACGGAACTCGAGGACACAGTTGGCACATCCGAGGAGCGAAGGATTGGTGTTCAGAAGATGGCGGAACTTGTCAACGTCTCTGGAGCTGTTGTTATGCACAGCCAGCTCATGGGAGGAGCGACGCTCTTCATAGATCTTCTCGGTCATGACTGCCCAGTGACGGCGGCAGTTGTTCGACACCTGGGCGATAAGTCCATTGATCTTCAACTGGCTTCCGAGAATTGATTTGATCTCCTTATAAGTCTTGTCAAGCCGCTTCAGTGTCTTGACAAGCTCGGATTCAACCTTCTTGATTTTGCGACCGTCGTTCCCACGTCCCTTCTTCCTGGCTCGAGTATCGTCACCGTCATTACCCGCATCAGCATCAGCATCAGCATCGTCAGTGGTGTCGTGCGGGGGTTGCTTGCTGCTCTTGAACGACAATGACAGGACTTCTCCCAGGTAGGCGGCGTAAAAGATGAGCTGGATATAACTCATGTTCGAGCCCTTTTTGAGATTGATAACCGATCCGAAAAATGCACCGTGTAGGATAAAGTTGCGGACCGAATCGGTACGTGCGATCCAGCGATGTTCGATAGGCGTGAACACAAAACCCCTGATACCTCCGGTCGAGTACTGAGAGGCAAGTTCATCCGGGCAGTGAAAGTCTTGAATGGCCGGTATGCTAAAGATTGCATCCCCAAGGGACACGTCCTTGAGCTCACCAAGGACTCCTCGGATCTCGACAGCACTGATACGAGCACGCTCGATCAAATTCTTGGTGATCGTGACCATCGGTGATGCTTCGTTCAGTCTAGAAGGAGGCGGGGACTTGGCGACGATCAGCGGAAGAATCATCAAGAGCTCCAAGAAAGAGAGCTGTTCGACATCGGGTCCCTCGGGCATCATTTCAGCGACAAGTCTTGGATCTACCATGTGCTCGTGGATGAGTTTGTAGATGTACTCCTGCTGCTCCAAGCAAGCTTCTCTTATGAGGCACTGAAGGGTGTTCTCAGCACTATCGACTCTTTCGACGACCTCGGGGGAAATATCGAGCTCAGAGTCGAGTCCTCGGTCGATGTACGAATTGGCGGTCGGAGGCACTGGGTCGGCTTGACTCGACTGGATATCGGCTGTCTCGACTCGGATTTTTCCGGGGACGACGTGTCTCCAAACAATATCCTGGATGAAGACATTGTGATGAACACATCGATCCGCAAAGCAGCTCATGTAAAAGTTGCCGGTAAAGTCATCAGAAGCCTTTCCGGCTCTGTCCGTTGGAGAGATGAGGACATAGAGTGATCCACGTCCGTTTTCGCCACGAGTATGCATTCTCTTGTAGAAGGGACATACTTGAGGAGCCAATGTGAATAAATGAACATCATTGACATACTTTTTATAGTCTTTGACGTCAAAGCGAACGCTGGTCGTATTGCGAAGGATCGTCTGGACAACTTGCAAAATAAGCGGGGGGCAATCGACGAAATCGATTCCAGGAACGGTGGCCACACCTTTGGTTGCCGCCTGAAGGTAATCGCCGTAATGTGTTCCGGTGTCGTCGTCACTGTTCTCATCGTCTTCATTCCTGGGTCGGCGCCTGACACGTCTTCCGTCTGAAAAGATGGTTTTGCCGACCATTGTGATAGGGATGAGATGGATTTCCAGGGCCGGATCTGTACCGAAGATCGTTTCCTTCATCGGTAGATTGGTAAGACTGCCATTGACTACGATATGGTCGAGGCGGAGGCTCGTGAGTTGTATGGCACCGACCGTGAGAGGTTCATCGTATCGCTTGTATTCGTAGTCGTCCTCGTTTTCCATAGGAACCAACTCGGCTCGGCGGTAGACATAGCCAAAGGGAACGTTGCCGCCGAATCGGTAGATGGTTTGGGTCATTTCGAGCTCTTTCTGTTTGGCGGTTTCGTCCGTGGTCTTGCCCTTAGCGGTAGCACCCATGATTCCTTTGTGGCTGCCGTACATTCGAAGCCCAGAGTTGTTGTAGACGGATTTATCGATAATATTGTCAAGATCAATGACACCGAAGTCGTTGTCGAAAAGAATGGATGTGAGTTTCTTGACAATGACGTCTCGCAAGGCGATCGCGGTTACTTTGGAAGTAACCAGGTTGGGGTAGTTGATGTGCCACCCGACAATGTTGCGGCTCGACATGATCTCGATAAGGTCTTCATCGGCATGGTCGGAATCGGTGATTTCTCTGCAGTTATTCATTATGATGAGCTTGATGTTGCTGAGGATGGTATAGACCAGCTTTCGGAATTCCTTGGGTTGCCAGGCTTTGAAAGTCTCGTACTTGAAGTCCAGATCAATAAAGAACTTGAAGCCGTTTGGATCGATGCGCTCGGTAATGGAGTTGGGTTCGTGGTTTTTTTGAGTCATGTCGATATAGTTCATGCCGTAGGCGTTCACAAAATCGACGTACTTCTCCCAAAACTCGACCACTGCTTTGGACGGGATGTCGAGGGCGCCATTACGGAGATGATACTTGGAATTGTACGCTGCCAGAAAGTGGGTCTGTTTGTTCCCTTTCTTGACGTGATTCTTAAGGAACCCGACCAAAAGGGACAATGCTCGAGCATATTCTGTAATCTGGGTTGGAGTTCGGTTTGGATGCACGAGCGGAACCGATGATGGACCAGGACGCGGTAAGATGGGGCGGTAGTCGCGGCTGCCACAAGGCTGATCGATCGGGGGGCGATCCATGATCTCGACTTGACGCTGGACCTCGACGCTGGACGTGGTGCTGCGGGTATCTTCGCCTTGATCGGATGATACACCGTCCATGGGATCGTCGATATCGGAACCCGAGCCAGACTGTAACGTCCACTACTGGGACGTTGGGGCAAGACGGGGAGGGAGGGGGTACAAGACAAGACAGGACGGGGCAGAACAGGGCGGTGCTAGGCTACTCTAGCGGACGGGTGAGCTCGGGGAGCACTTACGTTTATTCACGATAAAACCGAACTCCAGACAAACGGGGGGAACGGGGGCAACCCGCAGGTATACCCTGCGGTGGCCTGCCTGCGGTGCGTGAAAACGCAAAGCGCAGCACAGGTCACGACCCACTGCGCCGCGCAGTACGCGCAGTACGCGCAGCACAGCGTCGGAGATACCATCTCCTACACTCCCACACTTAAGAAGGCTTCCTGCGAGGAGCCCTGCGTGTGCTCTTTATTTGGGGCTCCTCGAGGTGTTTACCGTATTTACTCAGCTCCTCGGGTGCATGGGACAAGTCCTCCAGTGTTTGCCATGTGTTGCCCGAGTGTGGGTAACCAACCCACTTGACATAAAACCGAAGTGACCCATCAGCCACTTTCTTGTGCCTCACGATCCTTTCGACTTCATATTCTTGAGTATAGTATTGTCCGAGGTCGTCTTCCAGTGGTGCGTCGTCCGGGACACCTTCGTCGGCGTCGGGGAACTGTGCTGGACTGCGGGTCGTGTGGCGACGCAGCTTGGACACATGGAAGACAGGATGGAGCTTGCTTCCAGGTGGCAAGTCCAACAGGTAGTTGAGGGGACTGGGTCGGGCCGCTATCTTGAACGGTCCTCGGTACTTGGGCAACAACTTCTTTGACTGGGCTTCGGGGACCTTGATGTTGTCGGCGTCCAGGTAGACAAGGTCTCCAACTTCAAAGGAGACATCCTGGTGTCGGCGGTCGTAGTACTTCGCCATCACTTGTTGCGCATCCGTGAGCGCGTCGGCGATCATCTTGTGTCGGACTTGATGATCTTTGACAAAGGCACTTGGTTTGGGAGGCAATCCAGCCGTGGACTCGGTCAGTGTCAAGGAGGTGGGAACATCAGGCTGGAATCCGTAGAGCGCCTCAAAGGGGCTCAAGCCAGTTGTGCTCGACTTGGCGGTGTTGTATGCAAACTCTGCATGACTCAGCTGTATGTCCCAGTCGTCTTGGCTGGTCGAGGCGTATGTCCTCAGGTATTGCTCGAGGGTGCGGATCGTCCGCTCGGACTGTCCATCCGTTTGTTGGTGGTGCGAGGTTGACATGTTCAGCTTGGTGCCGAGATGGTCGAACAGACTTGTCCAAAACAAGGAGGTGAATCGGGGGTCTCGATCACTGACGATGGACTTTGGGAGGCCGTGGTGCTTGAACACATGCTTGAAGAACAGCAGTGCAAGGTCAGGCGCGGAGCATGTCGTCTGGCACGGCACAAAGTGTGCCATCTTGCTGAACCTGTCGACAAAGACAGCGATTGCATCGTGGTCCAACTTGGTCGTCGGTAGATGCGTGATGAGATCCATGGACATGCTGGTCCAGGGGCGGTCGGGAACAGGCAGGGGTTGCAGCAATCCTTGCTCTCGGGTCGTGCGTGACTTGACCATCTTGCAGGTATGGCAGGACTCGATGTACTTCTCGACGGTGCGCTTCATTCCAGGCCAGTATGCGACTTTGGCCAGTCGGTCGTATGTCTTCTCGACTCCAAAGTGTCCAGCGAGGGGCGAGTCGTGGACCTCTTGGAGCAACTTGGTCTTCAACGACGGAATGTCCGGCACACAGACACGGCTGTCCTTCTTCAGGAGGAGCAGGCCATCACGCACTGTGTACTCGGATGATTCGTCGTCCTTGGGGAGCTTAGACACCTTTCGGAACAGTTCTCCGAACTGTTTGTCGTTGGCGATGTTGTCTCGGACAACATCCAGCATCGTGTTGTCGACACTGACAGTCGACTCGTACAGTGACGCCAATTGGTAGTCGGGGCGTCGGGACAGTGCGTCAGGCACCACATTGAGTTTGCCTTTCTGGTATACAACCTCGTAGTTGTACTCGGCGAGGAACTCCATCCATCGCGCTTGGCGTCGGCTCAGGTTCTTCTTGGTGTCGAGGTAACGCAGTGACTGGTGGTCCGTCACAATCTTGAAGGGCTTGGCGGTACCGTGGAGGTACACTCGGAACTTCTGCAGCGCGTAGATGATCGCAAGCTGCTCCTTCTCGTGCACGGGATAGTTGATCTCGTGTTGGGACAGTTTGCGCGACTCGAAGGCAACGGGCCTTCCCTCCTGCATCAAAACAGCTCCCACCGCAAAGTCGGAGGCGTCGGTGTGCACGGAGACATCCGTGTTCGGGTCGAACACAGCGAGGACAGGAGCGTTCGTCAAGGCGTGCTTGAGGGTCTCGAACGCTTGGCGTTGTGGGTGGTCCCACACGAAGGGGCACTCTTTGCGGAGTAGGTCTGTGAGTGGACCGGCAGTGCGCGCCAGATCGGGGATGAATCGGCGGTAGTAGTTGACGAGACCGAGAAACGACTGCACGTCAGAGACGCATGCGAGCGGCGGCCACTCGACCACAGACTTGACCTTGGCGGGGTCGACTTCGATTCCTCTTCCTGAGACAACGTGTCCCAGGAACGGGACTTGATTCTTGAAGAACTCACACTTGGACAGTTTGGCATACAACTTGTGCTCGCGTAGCTTGGCCAGCACGCGGGCGACATGACCTTCATGGGTCGCTTCATCCTTGCTGTACACAAGGATATCATCCAGGTACACGATGACAGAGTTGTCGAGCTCTTGGCGGAACACATCGTTCATCAGCTGCATGAACGTGGCAGGTGCGTTCGTCAATCCGAACGGCAGCACTAGGAACTCGTACAGTCCGTAGCGAGTCCTGAAGGCGGTCTTGTGGACATCATCCTCGTGGATGCGGATCTGATGGTAGCCTGAGCGGAGGTCTATCTTGCTAAAGACCTTTGCTCCACTCAGACGATCCATCAACTCGTCGATCCTGGGCAACGGGTAGGTGTTCTTGATGGTCTGTTTGTTTAGTGCGCGATAGTCGACGCACATCCTGAGATCACCTTCTTTCTTCTTGACAAAGAGCACTGGTGCACCATACGGTGACTGGCTCGGGCGGATGAACCCATGGGCGAGGAGGTCATCCAACTGGCGCTTGAGTTCGTCCATCTCCGTCAGCGACAGTTGGTACGTCGGTCTTGACGGAGGCGACGAGCCTGGTTCGATGTCGATGCGATGATCGACGGTGCGTTGGGGTGGCAGGCATTGTGGCAACTGGTCGGGGAATACGTCCTTGTACTCGTCGAGCAGCTTGGTCACCACAGGCGGGGGACCGGGACCGGCTTGGTCGGTGTCGTCGACCTCACGCACGACACAGAGGAACGACGTGTCCTTCTTGATCAGCCTCTTGAATTGCATGGCTGAGAGGAGAGGTGGCATGTTGGGTGAGGCCATGCCCTGCAGGACAATGTCAGGGCCAACACGGACAGTGCGGCCTTTCCAGTCGACGACTGGAGTCGGCTCGGCACGAGCAAGCCAGCTCATGCCGAGGATGGCATCGAACTTGGTGTCGATCACTTGGAACAACAGGACAGGATGGTACTTGGGATGGAGGGCCACTCGCAGGACCACTTGGTGTGTGCACTGCTGCACACGATCGTCTGCAAGCGCCACACTCATCGGCGACTTCTTCTTGGTTGCATGTATGTTGAGCTCCTGGAGCAAGCGTCTGCTGACAAAGTTGCAGCTTGCTCCAGAGTCCACCATCATTCGGACGGTGTGACCTTGGACGGTGGCAGGGAGGTACAGCAGGGACTCTTCATGGTCCTCCTGCACAGCCTCCTGCACCATGACTTGACTTGGGGGAACGGGCGACACTTGGTCTTGGTTGGCTTCATCACGGCCACTCGGACATTTTGGATAGGGTTCGGCCATTGCGGGGGCCTGCGGCGTCAGCACGCCATTGCACACGACGTCCACGGCTTGCGGACACATGTCGGAAGCATCCGACACACACGACTTGACAGGGGTGAGGGCACAGGCGGTCCTGTCCCTCAAGGGTTCTTGATTTTCTTTTTTGTTTTGGTTTTCAATTTTGGTTTTCTCTTCACGTTCGTGGAGAGGCAGGCGGCTTGCGCCACCATGCACCTCTCGCACGACGCACAACACTTGGTTTGTTTCTCCTTCGGGGGAGGGGGCGAGGTGAACTTCCTCTGGAGACGCGTGGACTGCATTGAGCAATCCACGGCGTTGGTCTCCTACTAGGGCTCCAGAGCCACCTAGTAGGGTCGGCCGTTTCCCGACTTCATGGGGCACTCCTTGGCCTGGTGTCCCGGTCGGTGACAGAAGAAGCAGGAACCATGGCGGAGGTCCTCCTGCTTCTGTCTGTCCTTGGGGGAGACAGTGGCAGCTTGCTGGAACCGGGAGCGGGGAGGGCCACGAGCCTCCATGGCGTTGACGTCAACGTCCATGGGCTCAGGCATGGGTCTTGCGGGCGGGGCCGGGCGAGGCGGACGGGCTGGGACGTGATGAGACCGATGGCCGCCTGCTAGCTGCGGGTAGAACTGGCGGCCATGGTACTGGACGTTGTCGAGGTTCTCGGCAACGTCCATCATCACGTCCAGGGACTTGCGGGCATCAGGGTTGCTGGCGATGTACTCTCTGATCTTGGGCTTGAGGCCCTTCTGGAAGAGGTACATCGCATCAGCAGAGCCCAGCTCCTCAATCTGGGAGGAGAGGTCTTCAAACTCCTCGATGTAGCGGGTCACAGAACCACGCTGCACGAGAGAGTATAGCTTGTCACGGGCAATGAGTTCAGCATTGGGGCTGCCGAAGCGGCGACGGAGGCGGTCCTTGAAGTCGTCAAACACACCTTCGCTCTGCTCGTCGAACCCTTGGCGGCGGTACCAACGGTACGCCTGGTCCTTTAAGCAGAGCTTGGCGGCGACGATGTGGTGGGTGGGGGCGACTTGGGCAGCATCGAGGTAGTCCTCGAGTTGCTGCAGCCAGTCCTCCACCGAGGAGGAGCGGCTCTTCCCAGTAAACACTGGGGCACGGAAGGTCTTGAGGAAGGCTTCCGGAAGTGGGCGGGGGTTGCTCATGGCAGGGGCAGGCTCCAGGGACAGAGAGGAGAGTCGGTCGGCAAGAGAGGCGGGATCCAGCTTGAGGATCTAGAAAGAGGACAAACAGGACGAAAACAAGACGAGGATTTCCGATGCTACCATGTAACGTCCACTACTGGGACGTTGGGGCAAGACGGGGAGGGAGGGGGTACAAGACAAGACAGGACGGGGCAGAACAGGGCGGTGCTAGGCTACTCTAGCGGACGGGTGAGCTCGGGGAGCACTTACGTTTATTCACGATAAAACCGAACTCCAGACAAACGGGGGGAACGGGGGCAACCCGCAGGTATACCCTGCGGTGGCCTGCCTGCGGTGCGTGAAAACGCAAAGCGCAGCACAGGTCACGACCCACTGCGCCGCGCAGTACGCGCAGTACGCGCAGCACAGCGTCGGAGATACCATCTCCTACACAGACTCTGCCTCGGAAGCAGAATCCATAAGTAAGTGGTCAGTTCGCATTTACTTTTTTGCGCGATACAGGGAAGATGAACTTTGAGCAAGCAACGTTAACCTCCGTGCCAGGCGGTCCCGGTGATCGCAGTAGCACTCGCTTGAAGGTACCGCTCTCTTACGCCGTCGCCGTCGTTGCGATCTTTATAGTCTTCCGGGTCTACTGGCGGGCAGGCAGCGCGGAGATCTTCTGCCTCCTCCTCTCGACCCTGGTCATCTACGTTTGGCGCCAACAGGACCAGCGGGGTCTGGCCGACAAAAACCGCCAGGCCCTGTCCATGTATCGGAGCTTGGGGCTGCCTGACTCGCTGCATAGGGACGTTCGCTTGATCTATCTCCTGCACTGTGCTCGTGATCTCAGGGTCCTGAACCCGCCAGCCTTTGACTCTGCCGTCTCCGCTCTCTCCGCTGCATGGCAGCTCGAAGCCGAGCTCATGGGAGACACTGCGGTGTCGTCAGCCCGCCGTGCCCAGCTGGACATATACACCGACCTCACACAGGAGGCTGTCCGGCAGATCGCATCCATCCGGTACTCGATGGATACCGTGCAGAAGCAGGATCGCCTGGATACGATCATCGATGCGCTGAAGGGCATCCTGGACTCGCACGCGATCGATCTGCGTGCCCACCTCAACGTGGCCCCAGCCCCCGCTCCTTCAGCAGCGCCTGCACCATAGAATCCAGCGAAGCAGCGCTGTCTGACGACCCTTTGCCCGCGGGCCCGCGGGGGGTGCTGGCAAAGTTGACAGTGGCATATTCACCGTCTCCGCTGGGTGCCAGGCCGGGTGCGGAGAGCTGCTGGCGCTCGATGGTACTGGCTGGATGCTGCTGGGGCTGTGGCTGCGGTGGTGGTGCTGGTGCTGGTGCTGGTGCTGCCGTCGTTGTTGGTGGTCCAGCCCGCCCCACGGAAGACCCTGTTGTCATGCGACTGTGAAAGAATTCCAGCACACCGAGTCCAATAAACTTGCGTCCGTTGTAGTATAGGGTGGGGACGACCTCGATATCCATCAGCGTCAGCAGCTCGTCGCTGCACATCCTGGTATCGCTCACATTAACAAAGTAGATTCCCGATGTCTGTCCTGATGACTGGATGAGCTTTAATACATTGGCGCTATATTCACACTTGGGGCTGTAGAATAGGATATCCTTCATTCGGGGCAGCGTTGGACAATGGTATCTGAGATGCACCCATTCTTTCTTTTCGCATTTCATTAGCGCATCACGCCAAGTGCTCGAGCATCTCTTGAATGACTTCCTCGTACGGTGGACTCTGTTCCTTCCGGATACAGCCCACCCACTCTCTGTATTTGTGATGGTGCTCAGCGTCCGGACCGGCGTCACGGATTGCCTCTCTCCCTTGCTTGGCCAGCTTGTGGTTGACCATATCCTTGAGCAGATAGACCATGTAGAGCAGCGGATACGGGTTGCCCTCCGATGGCAAATCCCGGAACCCAACCTCGAGCACTCTCTTTAAGAAGGCTGGATACGACTTTCTGCACCACTTGCAAGGGAGGACCTTTGCCAGTGAAATAAAGAAATCATAGTAATCCTCCTGCAACCCCTGCACGCGTGCGGCCTGCTCGTCGTATGGTAGGTCACGAATGTCCTTTATTAACGCATCGTACTGAAGGGTGTAACCCATTGCAATCGATTTAAGAAACACCCACGCAGGTGGGCCCCAGTATTTCGAGTCCATTTTTTGTATGGTCAGTCGGTCGGCTATCGAAGAGTAGCTACCACTGGGGGGTTATTTATTTTTTGGCCTTGGGCTTGGGCTTGGCCTTGGCCTTGGCCTTGATGGGAACGGAAGCGGCCTCGGCAGCGACTGCCACTGCATCAACACCAGTGATGAAAGCACCACGCTGACCGCTGGGTTTGAAGAAACCGTGGATGCCCATCTGGTTGTTGTTTCTGTTCTTGATGCGGTTCTCGACTTCCTTTAGAACGCTGTTGAGCTCGCGCTCGAACCCGAGGACCTTGTAGAAGGTGTCGAGAGGCTTGCGGATATGATCGATGTAGTAGAGGAGGTCGGGGCGCATATTGTGTTTCACTGCAAAGTCCAGGGATTCTGCGCGCTCGTGAGTGTCCTTCGTGCCGGGGCGGTCGACAAAGACGTAAGCGAAGCGCTCGCCTGGGACGGGAGCAGAACCGGGATCTCGCTGCTGCATACGCTTGGCCAGCTCGACGTGAGGGATCTTGGCATTGCCGCTGTATTCCTTGGCCAGCTTGTTGGTGATGGCCAGCTCACCAAGGGGGACGGTATTGTCCTCGAGGCGCTTGAGAGTGGTCTTGAGCAGCTCGATTCCACCGCGGGCACCGACGGTTCGCTCCTTGTCCATGACTTCCTGGATAATGTTCCAAAAGACAGTCTTCAGGAGGGGGCAGTAGTTGCGGCGCTTGACGGCAATACCCTTGAAGTCGATCTTGTCGGGTTTGTCAGGGTCGTTGGTGTACATGCGGCCGACATAGTTCTTCTTGGCCTGGAGGACGTACGGGCAGTAGACCTTCTCGTACTCCATCTTGATCGGGGCGCGATTGAAGATCGTCGTAGTCAGCTGGTTGGCGGCAATGTTAGCCAGATGCATCGCCACTTCGATGGTCGAGTTCGGGAAGTGGATAAAGACCGAGTCGGTGTCGCCGCCGATGACCTTAAGGTTCAGGTCGTTCAAGTAAATGCCAGGGCCAAACTCGTTCTCCATAAAGTGCTTGGTCTGGTTGATCATGCGACGACCGACGGCAGTGACGGATGCGGAGAGGCACTGCATGTAGAGCATGTTTGCCGAGGTGAACCCATAGATCGAGTTCATCGAGACCTTGATGGCTAGCTCACGACCCTTGAGGATACGCTTGCGCAAGGGGTCGTTGGTCTCCCTGATCATGGCCTTGACTCGCTTGCGGCTGGCAAAGAGCTCGCGCTGCAAGGCGGGGACGACAGACTCGGTGTCTTGGACGTACTCGTAAGACTTCTCGGTACCGTCAGGCTCGGTCCATCGGATCTCATCGACGGTCTTGCCCCTGGGGACGCCGACGTCGGGAAGAACGATGGTGGTGTAGCATACGTTGTATGCCATCATGATGGTCGGGTAGAGACTGGCAAAGTCCAGCACGGCCACGGGAGTGTAGTAGGCGCCGACGGTAGGCTCCAAGACCGTGGCTCCGGTGAAGCTGACGGTGGGATCGCGATCGGGCGTGACGGTGGGAACGGCAAAGCCGCTCATCTTGGCCTTGCGGGCAATCTGGCTGTAGACCTTGATCTGCTGGCCTCGCTGGAGCAAGTATGTGATGGGCACATACGTGATGTTGCTCATCTCCGTGAGCTGCGTCAAGACATCCATCCTGTCGACCAGTTCCTGCACGAGATATGTATCCTGCATACAGTACTCGGCAACGGTTCGGAGCTGCTTTGGGTCTCGGCTGCGGAATGCGCGGATCATGTCGCCCACGTCAATGTCGTCCTTACCCTTGCCCAGGATCGACTGCGCCACAGTCTCGAGTTTGTAGTCCGAGAACTGCTCCATACCGCGCTGCACAACCACCAGGACGTCGATGCTGCAGCGACCGGGGATGTCCACGATCTTGTATTCGTTGTCCCCGAGGGCGGCGTTGGAGAATTTGGCCTCGCGAACGGAAGCAATGTGGCCGGGCTTGCGCGAGATCTGTGGGTGGATGCCGTAGTGCTGGATGCATCGGGTAACGACATAAGACCAGTCGAACTTGTCGCCGTTGTAGGAGTAGATAAAGTCCGGGTCCTTGCGCTGGATGTACTTGAAGAAGGCCTGGAGAAGCTCCTTCTCGGTGTTGTAGCAGATCACGGTGAAGTGGTCGTCCGTGCGCACCTGGGGCTCCATGGAGCAGCTGCCCAGATGGAACATGACGTTCTCGGTCCCGTGGCGATCGCGGAAGCTGGTGCCGATCTGGAAGACGACGTTGCCCAATACCTCGGGTTTGGGGAAGATGTTCTCACTGGGGAAGACCTCGATATCGAACGACATCTCGGTGAAGGGGGCCATGGACTCACAGCTACCCCTCAAAATAGCCTCGTGTTGGACATGGTAGACACCGTCTTGATCGCGCATGGTCGAATTCAATTCGGCCATGACCCAGCCGCTCATGGCAATCCCAAGATCGTGGGCCACTGCCAAGAACGGATCGATGTAGTCATAGAGCTTGAGATCAGCAAGGGTGATTGGAGGCAGGTTGCTGTGGGAGATGCTGTAGGACGGTTTATCGCCTTGAGACTCGGGATACTTGAAGAGACGCATGACCTTGCTGTAGAGGGCCGCACCGTCAAACACAAACTCGTACATGGGGCCGGCTTCGGCTTGGTAGCCCCACAGGCTCTTGCGGTTCACGATGCCGCCCATCTGGACGCGACTGGACAGGTTCAAGTAACGGGGGGTAGTGTGATCGTCATCGTGGAGAGGGTTCATCATCCAGGCGCGGCTGCGGAGGAAGCCAAGGATCATTTCATGGCGCTCCTCACAGACAGGAGCGTCACCAAGATCCTCGATCAGCAAGCGAAGGTGGAAACCTTCGACAGCGACCTTGATCGGCTCACCACCGAGAGTGCGTCCGACCATGACGGGGTAGAAGGAGGAATCAATGCAGCGATCATCTCCGTTGGAATACCAGGAGCAGATCTGGAACTCGGTCGTGGTCTCAGTCTTGAGACGCTTGGGAGCGGGGGGATGGCTAAAGAAATCGGCAGGCTTGACTTGCATGGCGTTGTCTGTGCTGGTCTACGCTGGGCGAGGGTGCAGGAAATAAATATTCTCAAACGCTCGCTCCTGCCAGGGCCTTGAGGACCTCTGCGAAGCGGGCGCGGAAGGTGTCGACATGGAACTCCGCCTTGGACTTGGACACGAGGTATTGGTGGGCGTCAGGGATCCGGGTCAGCAGATTGTTGACCTCCGACAGGTCGTAGTAGAACAGCGGGTAATCTTGCCCGAGATACTCCTCCAGAGCGGGCAGGCGGTTGACGATGATCGGGGTGTTGCGGACGATGCACTCCACCACGGTGTTGACGGCGGCCGCATCGATGAGGTCCAGGAACACCACCTTTGCCGTCAGCAGCCGGTCGTAGGCCTCGTCGTTCTGGTGCTCGATCACTTGGACGCTATGGACCTGTGCGATCAGCGACTCTAGGGAGCTCTGTATGAAGGTTTGCTTGTTGTTGCGGCACATGTTCTGGAAGCAAACGTCTCTGTTGCTGCTGTTCAGCTCCACAATACTACCATCGCTCACCGAGTAGCAGGTATAGACGCCCCGGCTGATCGACATGCCGCTTACAACGAAATCCTCGGGTGCAAAGTTGTCGTCCATGCTCTGGCCACGCAGGGCATACTTGCTCACCCCGGGATTGAGCTGGAGGGTGTAGATGCTGAATGGGTTGCGCAGCCAGGCGCCCACATTGACGACACCCTCGTTTTGGTAGTAGTGCTCGAGATTGAACAATGGAACACCTTGCATCAGCGTCGGGTGGATCATGTTTATGACCTTGACGTGGGACTTGTTGTGTTCTGCGAGCAGCTTGATCACATCGGCCTTGAGTGCACTGGACATGGTAATCAGGAGCATGCAGGTATCCAGACTCTGGAGGAATAACGGCTTCTCGAACAGGGCACCCACGTTGTTGGGCGATGTGCCTGTGTTGAGTGTGTGGTGGATGAAGCCAAACCACTTGCGACGATACGGAATCGTACCGGTGCTCTCAAAGAGGTCATAGCACCAGTGGAAGCTGCGGTCAATATAGTCGTCAAACAAAACGGCCCCGTTGACATCATCATTATAACACTCGATGCTCTCCATGGCATATTTCCATCCGGCCCGGTGTGGATTTGGCGACGGGCTCAATGGGACGACTCGCTTGAATGTCGGCACACCATTGGGGTGGACAGGGTTGGGAGTATCGTGCGGTCCGGTATGTTCATCATAATTAGGCCATGACTTGGGCTTCAGCTTGCTTTGCCAGTCCTTGAGCACCCAGTCAATCTCAGAAACAATGTTCACAGTTGAGCTTGTCATCTTTTGCTCCATTCCGTATTGGTATTCCGTGTGGGGTTGTCCTGTGATCACATAGAGGATATTTTGAGTCAAAAACGACACACTTACACTCATATCTCCCCCGATGAGCTTGGCTACAACACCAGGTGCATTGAGAGTCACAAGAGTGATCGGGTGCTTGGGGAAGAACACGGCAAAGACACCCGCTACTCGCTGCATCACATCTTTGGGGGTGCAAATGTCCCTGGCATCATGCACACCTCCCGCGCGCGGGGCACCGACGACCTGACTCCAGGAACGACTGGTAGGATGTGAGCGGATAGTCCTTGTATTCGACTGGTGGCTTCATATAGCCGACCTGGTCAAACATGTCCAGCACAGCGTCCACATCGATACCCGTCGGCTTGCGCTGGGCGTCGATCGGCATCTTGTAGAGCGCATCCAGCCGTCCGATATCGGTCATGAGCTGCTCGGTCTTGACGGTCATGCTGAAGGAGATGAACGGGATCTGGTAGACCACCGCCATCATGTGCGCGTGGTAGCGCATGCAGAAGGCAAAGTCGAGCTTGCGGAAGGTGCTGGCCATCTCCTCGATCGTGAAGGCGTCCGTGTAGGTCTGGATGTGTGTGCAGTCGGCGGCGGCATCGGCCACGTCCTGGTTGAAGAGAATGTCGTTTTCCTCAATCTTGTTGAGCTCGTCGGTATTGAATGGGATCAGATGGATCACACTGCCGGCAGGGAGACGTGCCAGCAGGGACTTGCACAGCAGAGCAATATTGGCGACCAGGGTGCCGTAGTTTGGATTGTCGACAAAGGCACTGCGGGCCAGAAACATGCCGATTTGCTTGCCGGCGGTGATATCACCAACCTCGTCCGAGATGGTCGAGTCCAGAGGATAGGGCTTGAGCTTGTTTGCCCAACCATAGGCAGCAGGCAGCATGTTCTTCAGATACAGGCTGATATCGGGGTGGTAGCTGACACGAGTGGTGCTCTTGGTCGTTGCCAAGGCGGCCTGAACGGCTTGGAACTGCTGCTGGCTTCGCAAATCGACCGTGGTCAGGAGCTTCAGGAACTGGGTCTCGACGGCATCCAGCGATGTGAATCCCAGAGACAGGCCGTGGACGGGCACATGGGTCCAGTTCTTTTGCCGCAGGACAGCAACCAGCCTATTCAGAAAGTACTCGTTGATCAGATCACCCCCGCCCAAGATGATACACCTGGGCGTGGTCAGAGGAAGTTGTTCTATGGGGTCTTCGAGGCTGCCAACGTAGACGTCGTCAGTGGTGACTTGCTGCAAAAGCCATGGCCACATGCGGGCAAAGATGTCGTCGCCCAGGTTGCTTCGGTCGTAGTATCCCAGCACGATGATCATGAATGAGGAAAGGATGAAAATGACGCCACCGGCTGATCTCTATACTGATATTTTTTTTCAACCTGCTTGAGCTCCTGATGGATGGACATGTGAAGCAAATCAAGCTCTCGCTGGTGTCAATTCACGAACTTTGATGATGATCTTTTTAATTGTCTCGGGATTGTGCCATTCTGATTTGTCTGCTCTGTCGCTGTAAACAACTCCACCAGAGCTCAAGGTCTCCATATCTTCATAGAGTTGGGTTTTCTTGATACCGATGAAGCGGGTAATATCGAGAGAACCGTCTCTCTTGCGCTGGGTAATCAGCTCATCGGCCTTCTCTTGGACCAAGGTATATGCGAGCAGGATGCCAGTCAACGCACACATCTGGAACATGAGGTTGGCATAGGTATCAATATGGTCCTTAAGATAGACATCAGCATAGTAATCCAGATTATCCGTTTGACTTCTCTTAGTTTCATAGTCAACGGCCTTGCGAGTTGTAGCAGCCGCTTGGGCATCAGCATTTGCGTAGCTGTACATCAACTTTTGGCGGTCATCGGCGTTTGTAAAGGGTTCCATATCACCGGTTCTATGGATTTTACTGAGTGATTTATTGAATGCATTCATGACAGAGCTCACGATATTCGAGGAATTCATGGTGAATCCCCATGACATGAAAAACTCCTTAAGCGTGCGCTTAGCGCCTCCGGCAGCGTCTGCATTGATAATACCCATACTGAGCAAACTTGGAATGACTTTATCGAAGGCAGTGCTCAGCGCCTTGACGACATCGTTGGCAAGTTGGAGGGTTTTGGCATTGTCGTTGTTGGCCCCTGAAATGCGGTTCTCCTTGGGGATCAGTCCGCCGGCAAACGCGTGGTATCCAATGACCTTTCTGTTGCCGACATCGGAAAGGAAATCCATCAGTGGTTGTTCGGCCTTCTTGAGCATAGTTTCCGAGACAAACTTGTAGATCTCCTGAACCTCGCTATCGTCCATGATGATCTGACCGGGCACCCATCCCTTTGGAGGAGGGGGGAATACCGCGCTTCAGCCAACCCTCAGCAGTATCCCAGTGTGGGTATGTCATCTGGGCCCAGTCGTTCAGCTTGACCGAGTTCAATATCTTGCCTCGCAAATCGCCCGTAAAGGTTTGCTGGTCGGCAGTGAGCGAGTACCACGGATGGGCCATTGGAGTTCGATAGGCGGTGAATGGGTTCTTCTTCTGCACAACGATATCAAAGTGCGTGTCGTAGGGAATGACCTTGTAATCCAAACCGGTCTTCTCGGAGAGGGCCTTCAGCTGGGCGTTGACAACGGCTTCGGGCTCAATACCAGTGCCGACAAAGTCGGACTTGCGGATGCGGACCGCAAAGACGTTGGGATCGGTGGCAGTCAAAGACGATGCTGTCGCGGTGAGCGGGTGTGCAGATGCAGATCCAAGCGGGTTCAAGGCACCGAGTGAGCCGAGCGACAGGTTCAGAGCATGGGTTGCATCGCTGATCGAGGAAATCGGGGTCACGGTCGACTTTGTCTCCTTCCACTCGAGCATGTTCTTGTTGAGCTTTTCGATGTTGCTATTCATCTTCTTGAGATATGTCTTCAGAGTATCCGCTTGCTTGCTTCCCTTCTTGGAGTCATCATCATCATCATCATCATCGTCGTCGGCATCAGCGTCATCGCTGGCACCTGCCCATTGATCGGGATAACCATAATCAGAGCGGATTGCCATGTACGGGCGATTATCTTCGCCTCGTGCGATCTGGCCTTCGCACAAAGGATCTTCCTGTGGCTGGTGTTGCTTCTTCTTACCAAACCAGCCGCTCAAGAACCCGCCTCCAGACTTCTCCCTCCCAGACATGTCATATGCGCCATGAACCATCTCCTCATTGGGAACAGAGTCGACGGGCCGGATGATAATGATAGCGGCACCGAATGACTTATGGGGGCGAGGTGTGCGATACTGGGCAACCTCTCGACTACTACTCGGTCGTCTGTGTGGGCGTTCGTCATCATACTGATACGAAGAGTATTTATTGTCCATCTGTGCACAGTACTGCTGATACAAACAGAGAATATTTTTTTCGCTCCGCTCTACTCCTCAGTGGGCTGTTCCTCGGAGGAGGAAGTCTCTTGCTCCTGCTGCTCGGCATCGCCAGTCGTGCGCTTGCAAGGAAGCATAGAGGGGACGTCAGTGTTCACAAAGGCAGGTGCGTTCTCGGCGAAAAAGTCAATGTCGCCAATGTTGCTGTCGCCGCTGCTCAACACTCTGATCTGCCAGAGACGCAGAGTCAAGGACGAGTTGTTGTTCCTGCCAAGGAAGAGCTTGGTGATCTCGACGATGGGGATGACGCGGGCATTGGCACTGAGGACCTGCTCGACATTGCTGGGGTTGACGTCGATCAACTTATTGCCGGCCTCGGTGAACTTGACGTCGTACTTGCCGGCACGGAAGGCGTTCGGGTTTTGAGGGTCGCGGTCGATGCTCACCTTGATGTTGGGAGGATAGGCGATTCCGGTCTGGCCGATCTTGGTGGTGACGGTACCCTTGTAGCGATCGGCGACCTGGTTGCGACTCAATTCACGGCGCTCGTTAGGGAACAAGGGAACGGCGAGGTTCTTGCTCTTCTGGACCTGGAGATCGATCATACGCTCGTCGAGTTCGACGAGTTTATGGTAGACCGCTTCGAGGATAGGATCGGTCTCATGGCCGTCGAGGCTGAGGCACATGGTGATCTTGCCATTGTCGCTGGGAGCGGTAGCGTTGGCGACAACCTTGTCGTTTTCTTTGTTGTCGGTCCAGAGCTTGGCTGCGAAGGGAAGGCTCATCTCGGGGAGCTTGAGCTTGATCGTGTCGCGGGAAGTGCCGTAGTTGACAAAAGCAAAGTTGCCATAGGAGTTAGAAAATGGTTTGGGATCAGTGATGGTGATCTTACTGACGTCAAGGTCCTTGATGTCAACGATGCCGTGGTTCTGAGTGGCCTTGAAGGAAGACATGGCTAGGATAGTAGTAGGTGAAGAGAAGAAAACGCAGAAAAATGATGCGATAGAAGTGAGAGAGGGAAAGTCGATGGTGCGCTGCTTTTAAGCGTTGGTGGGAACGACTTTGCATCGAGCCTGGTCGTGATCACTACTGCGCCACGATTTCGGCAGGGACGTTAACAGGGTCTACGCGGGCGGGGACGGGGTCTTCCGTTGTTGTCGCCGTGGCGGGCTCGTCCTGAGCTTCCAGCTTGGGCTTGCGTAGAAAGTGTGGGTTAAGATAAGTCTGCAGGTTAAAGTACGAGACCCCCAGGGAACCACTCTTGTCGATCGGGTGACGGATCGGGCCCAGCAGCTGAGCGAGCTTCTCGTCGGGGTGGATCACCCGGCGGTTCTCGGTGTCCTCGAGACTATGCTTTTTGACATAGTCGATAACAGACGAAGTGACGGTGGTGCGGGCAATCTCTTGGTCGGCGGGGATGCCCAAGAATTCGCACATGGCAGCGGAGACCTTTGTGGGCTTGGCGAAGCCGCTGGGCTTGCGCGGAGCTGTCAGCCTGGCAGCGGCGTCATCCGCGGTCGACGTGTCATCTCCGCCGGCTTGCGTCTTCCGCTTGCGGGACTGGGAGACCGCCGCCTTCTGGGCCAGGCGGTTGTAGCGGTCTTGGCTCTGCTGGGCGGTGCGCATCTCGCGCTGGTAGGTGGCCTTGGCCGACTTAATCAGCTCGATCGTCTTGCGCGCAGTGGACACGTCATCGCGGAGATTGCTGATCAGGCGTTCGGCGAGCGGCAGAAAGCTGGCGACCGGATCGGCAGCGACAGCAGGAGCAGCAGCAGGTGCGGGGGTGGGGGTGTCTGTGTTCTGGGACATCTTGGCTCGATATACTATATGGGTGAGAAATTCTTTATTGCTCTTCAGCGCAGGGGAACAACATGAAAGGGGCGCGGATCATGTCTACCATGATACGCAAGTATGCGATCTCAAATACATAAGTGCCCGCGCTATGAATCGTAATTTTGGTGTAGCTCTGTGGCGAGTCTGCGGGGGCTGTATAACGGACCGGGTCGTCACAGCTGCCAATATCCTCCACTACCGCCTGCCAGTCCTTAAAGTTCAGCGCAGTAACACTTCCATCCTTGCCGACGGTGCTTATGTGCGTTGTGTCCTTGTGACGACCGGTGTTGTAGATTTTTCGGGTAGACGAAAGGCTACCGGACTGATTCGACTCGATTGACACCGTTGGTGAATGGGATGTAGACGGACAGGGGCACTTCGTCGAACGGGACGTACAGACGGGCGTTGAAGGTGAAATCCATACCCATCGGTGTGAAGCCCGCTAATTCTTCGCAAAGGTAAGACTTGCTCTGGGGTGAGAGCTTTGTCTTCCTCTGAATGGACTCTTGTGTCTCGTCAGTATCGATTCCGAACAAACCAAGTACATTGTTGCGCTTGGTTGTGTAAATAGCCATGATACGCCTCTTTAGATCTTCGGTGATCTCGACTTCCGAGAGGACGATCACAAATCGAAGTAGATTGCGGACTCGATCCAGGACATAGACTACCCAGGGGAGGTTGCATGGCATGGCAAGCCATTGTACTAGGTCCGTCGTTTGTCGGTCGAGCGTCCCAGCCACCGTTGACATTGACAAAACCTTGGCGCAAGCAATAATGGCTGGATGGTGACGTCGGACTTGGTCGGAGTATGGGTAGACGAGCTGGTAATCACCGCCCATGTTGTAGCCGATCCTATCCAGGTCAACGACATTATCGTCACCGTCGCGCAATTCTGGGATGGTGTACGAGAGCGCAAACAAGCGTGGGTTGCGCTTGGCTTCATGGAGGCACTCGAGCACACACAGGAAGCTGGCGTAGTTGAACAATGCGACGCTAACGCCAGCAAATTGAACTTCATCTGCCAATGCTTCGTTCGCAATCCGGTTCAGTAATGTAACCGGGCTGATATAGCTTGAGATCGACCAGGAGTGAATGATGCCATCGTCACTGCTGAGTGTGACAGAGGGCGTCTGATCGCTGATGATCGTGTGCCACAAGAGGGTACTCGGTGGCTTCGGTGGTGAAGTGAACATTGAGGCGAGCTTTAGGTACCCGGCTTTGCAGCGAGAAATTGACGTTTTGCGACTCGATCCACGACCGATGGATCCGGATTGCTTTTTCTTGACCGATCCTTGCTCCCTTCGGGCCGAACGGTTGCACTGAGCTTGTGGCGCCGGAAGCACAGTGGGTGTCTTGGGACACTCGATCAATGGAGCGGGGGGCTTTTCTCGTTCTTCGATTGGCGGTTCCTGAGTAGGGTCGACGTCTGATTCATCAGAATCAAGGCTGTCGAGCAAATGATACGTTGAGAAATCCGCTGCCGATGTGAACATTGTGGTGCGCTGGCTAAGTTTGATCTGGGAGGATGATGGGGTCTGGGGATACGACTCCGCTCTTGGGCGGAAGTTTCACGTCGGTGCTGCGCCACCATTGCAACATCGGGATCAGCTGAGGCCCACGAGAATCATATAGATCAGAACGAAGAGATAGACGAGCATGGTTGCGATGGTTGCGTACGACATGCGTGAGGATGTGCTGCGTTTGCTGCGATCAGGCTCACATTTTTTCCCCAGCGCTTGCCATCGATCGTCCAAATGAATACCAAGATCCAGCCGAGCCGCCCCGTCCTGGGTATCCCGCCTCGAACGACATCCGAATGGATCGATACCCCGCCTCCAAAGCAGAGGGAACGCAATTACTTTATTTGCGTCGAGTCCATCAAGCGTGCACCTGTCTATCCGTCTCCGGCAGAGTATCGCTTCCCGATCCTCCAGCCCTTGCGCGATGTCATTCGTGTCGAGCTCGTTGGAGGGACCTTGCCGTCGACACCGTCCACGACGCCGCCCTATGTCATTCCTTGATGTTAATGAGCTGAACCACATGGATGTCGGCAGCTGCAAACGGTGCCTTCAATGTGCTCTTTACCGCCCCCGGAGCCGGCTCGTCCACCCACAGCATCGTGCAGACGCAAATGACCCAGACAACGACACTGATCTGCCAGCCGTCCATCCCCAGACTCAATTACCTGTCGATCGCCTTGCGTGCCCCCGACGGCACTCTCATGGACTATGGCACCGGCTTTGATCCGTCAAACCAGCACATGCTCATGTTCAAGTTCACGGTCTTGGAGGCCTTTGGGCAGCTACCTTAAGGGAGAAGCGTGAGTGTCTGCTGAATGGCAGAAGCAGTGCGTGGGTTAGTGGGACTGTACGGATACAAGAGTCCCTTGGAATCGACCACAAAGAGCGTCGGGAACCCGTTGACAC